ACTAGTCTACTAAAACACAGCCAAGACAAGTTACTTCATACAGACCAAAGGTCAGTTTTATGTTATTTGATACAGTAACATGAGTGAACATGAGCTGCATCACTGTAACGTCTGTATTGTTAGCCAGGCACGGCTGAAAGGTCAATATAATAAAAAAAATTAAATATATATAAATGTATAATGTTATGAGATTTAAGTTATTTAGTCTAAACATTTATATTTTTGTGTTATGATTTGTGTTCATTCTTGAATGAAAGAGGCATAATTTATATTTATTTCCTGATTTTTTATAGTGGTTGCGAGAGCGGTCAAATCTACCGAACCTGTACAGAGATTAATTACTGATAATAATAACAGATGAAATATAAAGTTTTTACTTAAGTACTGTTTGATAACTATCTGGACATTATAAAGATTTTGCATATGAAATTTCAAAATTTTCTGGTGATAAAAGTATTTTTAATCTTAAAATGAATATTACTTTGTGTGATAGACAGGCAACATGCAAAAAGAAAAAACAGACATGAGAAAACTTGCTTTATAAAACTTAAGACTTAATAAAACAAAATTTGATATTCTGCATATGAAAGCATTGTAGCGTTTACTGATAATCTGCCAAATTTTGTTACCATTCGCTTACTAATTTAAAAGTTATAGCATGAATACTATAACAAGTACAAAATTGTTATGAGGTTGGTCCAAGGGACCAAGCCCATGCTGAAAAGAGTTAATGAGGCAAGCTAGCAAAAAAACCATGTATGTGACAGCCACAGCTCCAAGAGGAAAGAATCTAGAAACCTAAAATTTTGCACCCATATTAAGTGGACCCTGAGGGTGTGCACCTGTGTATTATTACTTATCCACATTCGTGCACACAGGCATTTGAGCATCTTTTTAAGGACAAAATTAAATAACAGATTGAGCAATCAACAAATTTTTTATATTTTTATTTAAAGAAGGATGACGTTTCAAAGCTCTCTTTGTCACATCGTGCAGCTAAAGAAAAAGGCACATGCAGAATTCAAAGAACTTACATGCGTAGTATTTGGAATGTTGAGCATGAAAATTTTAATTAAAATTATATCTATTACATATCTATTACAAGTTAGCAAATAAAATTTGAACAAAAAATGGAAAATAGAAATCTACAGGAAAGAAAAGCATTCATTTAAATCAGATGGTTTTAGGATCCCCAGATTGTAGATTAATCTCATTTCTAGTTGTTCTCTTTTGTGAATGTCTGTTGGAGCAAAACCAAAATACACCTAAATATGATTTAGATGTTCTCGTCCTTCATCATTGAGTCGGGGACTTGTTTGTCCAATGTATAAATTATTACATCTTTTGCAAATTATATAGCAAATGGTACATTTAGTGGCACATGTAAAGAACTGTCTTATGCCAAAACTTGTGTTTTTACCTTTTATATGTGTAGTGCTGTTATATGTGGGCATGTGACACCTATTTCATTTAAATGTATAAGTGCCTGTAATATTTTGTTTTTGTTTAAGGTTACTGTGTCTATGATTTCTTTTAGGTTTTTGTCATGTCTGTAAGAAATAATGGGTGGGTCTTTGAAAAGAGATTTAATTGTAGGATCTTCAGTAAGTATTGTGTAATTGTTTACTATAATATCTCTGATCTCCTTGTTGGTCTGTTAGCACAATTGGAATGCAATTGGTGTGTTCTTTCTTGGTAGGTTGAGTGTTTGCTCCTGGGTATATGAACTAGCTTTGGTGGCTACATTGTGGATGAGAGAATCAGGGTAGTGTCTTTTAAGAAAAAAGGATTTCATGTCTTAGAATTTATATCTATGGTTGCTGTCATCTCTACATAGTTTGTGTAGTCGTAGAAATGATGAATATGGTATTGATTTTTTGTTACTGTACGGGTGGGAAGATTTGATGTGTAGGTATTTGTGTGAATGTGTTTCTTTGTAATTTATACTAGTAGTCAGATGGTAGTCTTGTATGTATATGTTAATGTAGAGAAATGGGTTGGCCCGATTGTCCATCTTTGTGGATTTTAGGGAGAAAATAGAAAGTGGGAGTTTTAGGTTCCTCATCACTTATTTATCTTTTATTTTCATCTAATAGATCTAATTTTGCTTATAATTTTGATGCTCATCATTTATGCACACAACTTCTTTGAATCCTGCACATGCACCTTTGTTGTAAGCTGTACGATATGGCAAAGAGCTCTATCTTTAAATATAAATGTACAAAAATCTTGAAATTTTTGTTGTTTATGTGGTTTTAACTATATTCATCTTTTTAATGAGGCTAGCTAGCAAAAAACCACCTAGAAAATAATATGTGACTGCCATAGCTCTAAGAGCAAAGAACCTAGAAACCTGAAATTTGCTTTCATACAAAGTGGACCCTGAAAGTGTGCAACTGGGTATTATTACTTATCCACCTGTGTGCTCGCATGCACGTGAGCATCTTTGTAATGAGGCAAGCTAGCAAAAAAACACATAGAAAATAACTTGTTCCTTATATCAGGTCATCAAGAAATTAATGTCGCGTTTTGGAACACTTCCATTAACTACACCCCACCCACCCAAAAATTTACATCACATATAATAGTTAAACGAACTGCCCAAACGTTACATTAGTGTAGCCTGTGTAAGGTGTATAAAGTTTAGTATACTCTAATCCTTTATAGTGATGACACATGTAAGAAGTTTATGGAAATATTTTGAATGTTTGTAAGTGTCAATGATGGTTCAACAAATTTTGTTCAGGTGACTTTAGCCTTAAAAACTGTGATGAAACGGACTGACATGTTGGAATTAATATTAATGCTCTGAAGATGCTTGTCGACTCTAATCCAAGGCAACACACTCGTGAAATGGCCCTGAAATTGCATGTCTCTCATAAAACAATATGTAAACATCTAAGGAATATGAGAAAACTCCATAAAGAAGGTGTTTGGGTGCCTCATGAACTCTCCGATGATCATTGTTTCCAATGTGTGAACATTTCTTCATCTCTTCTGGCACATAATGCGTGTGAACCGTTTTTGGACAAAATTGTCACTGGTGATGAAAAGTTGATTCTCTATGCAAATATTAAATGCCAAAAACAATGGCTCAGACCTAGACAAAAACTACTTTTGACCCAAAAACCTGGACTCCATTTGCAGAAAGTGATGCTTTGCATTTGGTGGGACATCAGAGGAGTAATTCATTTCAAACTCCTCAATCCACAGCGAACTGTCAATGTACAGATTTATAGTCAGCAACTGGAATGCTTAAATCAAGCCCTTCATCAGAAACGCCCTTCACTCGTCAGTTGGAAAGGTGTTCTTCTCCATGACAATGCACGTCCACATGCGGCACATTTGGTGCAACACAAGATTATGGACTTGGGTTGGGAAGTTCTCCCCCATCCACCATATTCTCCAGATATGGTACCATCAGATTACCATCTTTTTCATATGCTGTAACACCATCTTAATGGGAAGACCTATGCAAATGTGAAGGTTTTAAAGAGGACATTGACATGTTTTTTGCTTCAAAGCCAAGTGAATTCTTTAATCCGGACATAAACAACCTGACTGTAATGTGGAAAAGCATCATTGATAAGAGTGGAGACTATTTCATTTAATAAAGGTTTTGTTTTGATATATACAAGTTGTTTGGGTTTTTCATTCAAAAACAAGTGACATTAATTTCTTGATGACCTAATATAACAACTTCTAATATATATAGAAAAGCTAGTGCATTTTAGTAACAATGCATTCCACCAATGGCGTTTATGCTATGTTACTTAGCAGCAACAGTATATAGGTTATTCTTTTATGCTAAAATGGGTTCAGAATACACACACTATGAACCTAATAAATCGAGTACCTTTGCTAGCTTGCACCCATATTAAGTGAAACCTGAGGGTGTTCAACTGGGTATAATTACTTATTGATGTGGGTACACACATACACATGAGCATTTTTGTATAAAACAAGCTGGTGAAAAAACACATGAAAAGAAGTGTGACCACTATATTTCCAAGAAGAAAGAACCTAGAAACCTGAAGTTTTGCTCCCACACTAAGTAGATCTTGAGGGAGTGCACCTGGGTATTACTTAATCTTATCAAATTTTGCATCCATGCTAAGTGGACCCTGAGGTTGTGCACCTTGGTATTACTTATCTTACCCACGTGCATGCACGTGCCAATCTTTTTTAACAAGGCAAGGTAGCACAAAACCAAATAGAAAAGAAGTGGTTCTTATATTACAAATAGAAATCATAGACAGACACGCACATGCATATTCTGTTCTATTTTTTTATAACTGAAAGTCTGGATCTTAATGATCTAAACTCTTTCAGCCTGAGTTTGAAGGTTAACTACTTAGGGTAGTTTTGAAACTTGGTAAGCTCCATTCTGCATTATATTAATTTGAAAAGTTTGTATTCAACTTAAAGTTTGCTTACCTTGTTAATTCATTGGCCATCATGATCACCTTTGTATTCTATATGATTACTGATGTATAAAGTTTATCTTTTAATTTCTTGAGAGTGTACAATATAGCTTTAACATAAAAACAAGAGTACTTGTTGTTACGTACCATAAATAAGCAAGTAAATGTTGTATGTTGGAAAACCTAAGTGTTAAATTACTTGTAGTTTTTCACTATATTTGTGGATGACAAATTAGTAATCTATACTGTGATTTGTTATTGTAGTGGAAATCTATATTATGCTCAATTTACCCAATATTTTTTATTTTTTTATACAGTTGGGTCAGAGTCTTCTGAAGAAATGATAGAGAGTGCTGCTGTGTACCTCATGGAGGTTTTTCAGGACTGCAACTTGATTGGTTATAAGCAAATGCTACAGCTTCAAATAATGTTTGGATCCTTTTCATCTTCTATAGCGACTTTGGCATGTAAGCTTGTTGGAAAGATGCTTTCGTGGTTACCGGATAAGGAAAGAAATAATTTTCTGAAACAGAATAATTTTGGTGAAGAAGAATTTGAAGAATTTGGATATAAGATCAGATTTGTTGGATATCAACCTTTTGATGATAGTAGCTTAATTTTGAGTTGGGATCAAGAAGATTCAAAAAGGCAGGATTTGTTTTTTACCTTAGATCTTGAGAAGCCTGTTAGAAAAGATAACAATAAAGAAGAAAGCAAAAGACAAAAAAAAATGCTTTGTTTTGATAAAAGATGGTTAGAGCACGAAGTAAAAAAGTACTATGCTCATCCTTCAAGCAATTTACTTGGGCTTGATGTTGATGATATTGTTTCATCTATATTAGCCATATTAATGTCAGAAAAGTCAATTGATGAACTCCAAAATGATGTAAGTTATACTTAGAATTCATTTGTCAACTGGAATTAAAATTTTATATTGTGCCAAAACAGAATTCTAACATTACCTTAACACGAGGTTTCAAGAGTATTTTAGGCAGTGTAGACATGACAGAGTTTTGCTTTTAATGGACTACTTCTGCCTTTTTCTAGAGTGAGACAATGTTTTGGCATCCATACTGAGACATTTCTTCTTCAGATTAGTTATTATTTGTGTAGTCTTCATTTTTTTCTTCTTTCTTTCTTTCAACATGTGAATTATTGTGTATCTGGAAGTTAATTGGGTGACATAATCATACATTCTGTGTAGTTTGTTGAGAGACACTACATGTGTATATTACAACTGTGGCTTCAACTGGAAAAAGCCTCAGTATAGAAGCTGAGATGTTGTTGCACTAGAAACAGACAGGAACATTTTGTTAAAAGCCAAAAGTTTAACATGGGCTAAATTTTTGACTATTTACAAAGACCATCAAATGCTTCTTAAAGTTTGTCACTTTTTTCTTTGCCATTGTATTAATAGATTCTAAAGAAAAGCTATAAAAGTATTTGGTTTAAAAATGTATACAATAATTGTAAACATTTTTGTGAATTGTTTACTTTTGTACAGAATATAAGTAAATAATGTTTAAAATTGTTCAGTTATTTGGCAAGTGATGACTTATTTTTAAAGGTCACCATCTATACTGTTATTCTGCTTGTTTATATGTATGACTGTTACACTTTCTGACCAAGAACCTGCTGCATAAGCATACATAGTTAGAATGTTTTCCCAAGAAAAACTGTGCATGCACATTATTCAGTGGATGACAAATAGTCTGCCTGTGGCAGAGATCTGCAAAGCTCAGTGATCAAGTCACTACAATTGCTGTATGAAACAAGAAGTAACAACAAAAAGGGAATGTA